AAACCTGGAGCATAGCTTGGAAACCTGGAGTCTAGCCTGGAAACCTATAGTCTAGCATAAAAACCTAGAATCTACCAAAGAAACCTGGAGTCTAGCCTGGAAACCTGGAGCCTAGATTGGAATCCTGGAGTCTAGCCTGGAAACCTGGAGCCTAGCCTGGAAACCTGGAGCCTAGCCTGGAAACCTGGAGCCTAGCATAACAAACCTGGAATCTAGCCTGGAAACCTGACGCCTAGATTGGAATCCTTGAGTCTAGCCTGGAAACCTGGAGCCTAGATTGGAATCCTGGAGTCTAGCCTGGAAACCTGGAGCCTAGCCTGGAAACCTGGAGCCTAGCCTGGAAACCTGGAGCCTAGCATAACAAACCTGGAATCTAGCCTGGAAACCTGGAATCTAGCCTGGAAACCTGGAGCCTAGCCTGGAAACCTGGAGCCTAGCATAACAAACCTGGAATCTAGCCTGGAAACCTGGAATCTAGCCTGGAAACCTGGAGCCTAGCCTGGAAACCTGGAGTCTAGCCTGGAAACCTAGAGTCTAGCCTGGAAACCTGGAGCCTAGCATAACAAACCTGGAATCTAGCCTGGAAACCTGGAATCTAGCCTGGAAACCTGGAGACTAGCCTGGAAACCTGGAGTCTAGCCTGGAAACCTGGAGCCTAGCCTGGAAACCTGGAGCCTAGCATAGCAAACCTGGAATCTAGCCTGGAAACCTGGAATCTAGCCTGGAAACCTGGAGACGAGCCTGGAAACCTGGAGCCTAGCCAGGAAACCTGGAGTCTAGCCTGGAAACCTAGAGTCTAGCCTGGAAACCTGGAGTCTAGCCTGGAAACCTGGAGTCTAGCCTGGAAACCTGGAGACGAGCCTGGAAACCTGGAGCCTAGCCAGGAAACCTGGAGTCTAGCCTGGAAACCTAGAGTCTAGCCAGGAAACCTGGAGTCTAGCCTGGAAACCTGGAGTCTAGCCTGGAAACCTGGAGCCTAGCCTGGAAACCTGGAGCCTAGCATGAAAACCTGGAGCCTAGCATGGAAACCTCGAGGCAAGCATGAAAACCTGGAGCCTAGCATGGAAACCTGGAGCCTAGCTTGGAAACCTGGAGCCAAGCTTGGAAACCTGGAGCATAGCTTGGAAACCTGGAGTCTAGCCTGGAAACCTATAGTCTAGCATAAAAACCTAGAATCTACCAAAGAAACCTGGAGTCTAGCCTGGAAACCTGGAGCCTAGATTGGAATCCTGGAGTCTAGCCTGGAAACCTGGAGCCTAGCCTGGAAACCTGGAGCCTAGCCTGGAAACCTGGAGCCTAGCATAACAAACCTGGAATCTAGCCTGGAAACCTGACGCCTAGATTGGAATCCTTGAGTCTAGCCTGGAAACCTGGAGCCTAGATTGGAATCCTGGAGTCTAGCCTGGAAACCTGGAGCCTAGCCTGGAAACCTGGAGCCTAGCCTGGAAACCTGGAGCCTAGCATAACAAACCTGGAATCTAGCCTGGAAACCTGGAATCTAGCCTGGAAACCTGGAGCCTAGCCTGGAAACCTGGAGCCTAGCATAACAAACCTGGAATCTAGCCTGGAAACCTGGAATCTAGCCTGGAAACCTGGAGCCTAGCCTGGAAACCTGGAGTCTAGCCTGGAAACCTAGAGTCTAGCCTGGAAACCTGGAGCCTAGCATAACAAACCTGGAATCTAGCCTGGAAACCTGGAATCTAGCCTGGAAACCTGGAGACTAGCCTGGAAACCTGGAGTCTAGCCTGGAAACCTGGAGCCTAGCCTGGAAACCTGGAGCCTAGCATAGCAAACCTGGAATCTAGCCTGGAAACCTGGAATCTAGCCTGGAAACCTGGAGACGAGCCTGGAAACCTGGAGCCTAGCCAGGAAACCTGGAGTCTAGCCTGGAAACCTAGAGTCTAGCCTGGAAACCTGGAGTCTAGCCTGGAAACCTGGAGTCTAGCCTGGAAACCTGGAGACGAGCCTGGAAACCTGGAGCCTAGCCAGGAAACCTGGAGTCTAGCCTGGAAACCTAGAGTCTAGCCAGGAAACCTGGAGTCTAGCCTGGAAACCTGGAGTCTAGCCTGGAAACCTGGAGCCTAGCCTGGAAACCTGGAGCCTAGCATGAAAACCTGGAGCCTAGCATGGAAACCTCGAGGCAAGCATGAAAACCTGGAGCCTAGCATGGAAACCTCGAGGCAAGCATGAAAACCTGGCGTCTAGCCTGGAAACCTGTGTCTAGCCTGGAAACCTGGATTCTAGCCTGGAAACCATGATGGTATCATCTTCAAGTCCAATACTTCAAGCATCAGTTGTTAATGACCCCAACTCTGATCCCCCGGAGTGGTAATCATGTCAGTGTTTACGTGTATGATGAACGTGTATGATGAACGTGTATGTATGTGTGTATGTATGTGTGTATGTGTGTATGATGAACGTGTATGATGAACGTGTATGTATGTGTGTATGTTTGTGTGTATGTGTGTATGATGAATAGGTCCAGGAGATCACTATATCTGGAGATGAGTGTGAGGTAATTGAGTGTCAGTTGTTAGTTGTACAGCTGAAGCATTATAAGGGTCAGCAAGTGTACCTCGTGACACAATCCACATCACTAGACTTGAGGATGTATACTGGTCTATACCAAGAAAATCAATTTTTTTCTAAGATAGGTATTTTTAAAATCTTAATGATCTAATTCAACTGAAAAAGGGAAGCAGTTGCTGCGCATTCTATTTGTAAGCTGTTACTTACCACACCACCTTACTCCCACCTTATTACAGAGGCATGAAGGGACATCACTCACTGTGTCAATTTTTTTTAACCATCATAATTAATCATATTTAATCTTTCTAATAATCCACATTTATGAAGTCTTAGTAGGCATTTAGAAGTACCTAGCATATATGCCACTGTGTATTAATCATATAAACGTGAGTGAGTGTGAGTGTGAGTGTGAGTGTGTGTGTGTGTGTGTGTGTGTGTGTGTGTGCGTGCGCTCTAGTCTGGACTGTTGCCAATCGATCGAACCCCGGACCTTCCGCTCTCTGGGTGTGCTGAGTGTAGGTCCTCCAATGTGTATTGTGTGGTCAGTATGGGTCCTGTGTTGACTTGTGACCTCCAATGTTCATTGTACGGTGAGTATACGTCCTGTGCTGACTTGTGACCTCCAATGTTCATTGTGTGGTGAGTATAGGTCCTGTGCTGACTTGTGACCTCCAATGTTCATTGTGTGGTGAGTATAGGTCCTGTGCTGACTTGTGACCTCCAAGGTGTATTGCAAGGTGAGTATAGGTGCTGTGCTGACTTGTGACCTCCAATGTTCATTGTGTGGTGAGTATAGGTCCTGTGCTGACTTGTGACCTCCAAGGTGTATTGCAAGGTGAGTATAGGTCCTGTGCTGACTTGTGACCTCCAATGTGTATTGTGTGGTGAGTATAGGTGCTGTGCTGACTTGTGACCTCCAATGTTCATTGTGTGGTGAGTATAGGTCCTGTGCTGACTTGTGACCTCCAATGTGTATTGCAAGGTGAGTATAGGTCCTGTGCTGACTTGTGACCTCCAATGTTCATTGTGTGGTGAGTATAGGTCCTGTTCTGACTTGTGACCTCCAATGCTCATTGTGTGGTGAGTATAGGTCCTGTGCTGACTTGTGACCTCCAAGGTGTATTGCATGGTGAGTATAGGTCCGGTTCTGACTTGTGACCTCCAATGTGTATTGTGTGGTGAGTATAGGTCCTGTGCTGACTTGTGACCTCCAATGTGTATTGTGTGGTGAGTATAGGTCCTGTGCTGACTTGTGACCTCCAAGGTGTATTGCATGGTGAGTATAGGTCCGGTTCTGACTTGTGACCTCCAATGTGTATTGTGTGGTGAGTATAGGTCCTGTGCTGACTTGTGACCTCCAATGTGTATTGTGTGGTGAGTGTAGGTCCTGTGCTGACTTGAGACCTCCAATGTTCATTGTGTGGTGAGTATAGGTCCTGTGCTGACTTGTGACCTCCAAGGTGTATTGTGTGGTGAGTATAGGTCCTGTGACCTTCAGTCTGTATTGCGTGGCGACATAAAGTCCTGTGCTGACCCTGATGTGGAACGTAGCAGAACACAACCAGAAAGGACAGTGTGAGGTATGCTGTTAAAGGTCTGTCACACAGAGTTTGCTTGTTGCGATAAGAAAATAGAAAAATCATACATGATTTACAATTGACTTGCAATTTACCTCACTGCATACTTTAAAATAATAAGACTTCAAGATTCAGGCACAAGAAGACAAACATATTGATAACAGTAAGAAAATTATATTGCAGTACTGATTCATCTTTGTTTGGATCTATGGTGAACATTATATTGTACAGAACCTTTAATAAATTATTCTTATTGGTCTGGTGGTAAATATACCTGATATGTTCCTGTTTGTGGATGCAGCCGATATGACACGAAATGACAGATGCCAGGAAGTATTGGTTACAGCAAAAAAGGCCTGGCCTCCACATAAGCATTTACAGTAGTGGCAAAATTCAACATCACATAAACTAAACAGGCAAAAGAAAGTGACCATGAAAACTGGATTTGACCAAAAACTTACAAACATTATAGAAACATTACCGAGTCAAAGTAGTCGCCGGAACACTGGAAAACTCAAAGTTTAGAACACAACTAGGATACCCGTATCAAATACATCACCATCAAATAACCATTTCTTGTTTGTTTCATTTTAGCCACAATCAATCATAGGTGAATACTTTCTTTGCCCGACAGTTTAACTGATGTAAAATATTCATAAGTAAAAGTAAATACCGTATCCGACGTAATAAGCGCCCCGCTCTAATAGGCGCCAATGGCGATATTTGCTGATATATTGGCTCGTGAACAAGCCCAATTTGCATCCCTTCCGATTGATCAATGTACACAAGACTTATTTATTCGGTATAATACGCACATGTGTGTTATATGCACCCTTATTTATGGGCCATTAAATTCTGGAAAAATATATCTGTCGTACATAAACATTTCAGGCTGTCAGCATAAACCACGAAATTTATCTTTCAACTATGTTTCTTTTTCACCAAAATAATATTCTAATAAGAGCCCCCTATTTCTTATTTTGAGAGCGCCCTGGGTGCTTATTACGTCGAATATGGTAACAATTTATAGCTTCTTCCCTTCCTGTTGTGAATAATAGATATAAACATATGTGAAAGGAAAATATTACACAAAATCCAGAGAAGCATAACATTCACAGATTCCTTAATCAGTTTGACGATGCAGGGGTATAAATTATGAGTTAAATACAGTCTACAAACCTACCCATCTACAGTCAAACACCATTGTGTCGAAGTTGAAGAGACCGATGTAAATACTTCGAGTTATCTGTGGTTCAATAAAATAAAAATGATGAATAAAGATGGAATATACAGGGACCAAGCTTGTACTTCGAGACAACTGTTAGTTTGACACATCAAAGTTTGACACAACAGTGTTTGACTGTATGTAGCTTATACATGTAAACTTACTTAAGTGTGGGAGTAACGGCTAGCCCTTTCAACGGCCCTTGACTAGTTGACAAGTAAACAAGCAGACTCGTGTTGTAGAGAAAAGTTATCTGACAATATCTACATGTCTATGAGTAAGATCATCAATGTTCAAATATTCCTGAAGTGAACACATTACACTGCAGGCAATACACATGTTGCTATTTAAAACTGTTCAGGGATTTATCTAGCCAGTATCTGGAGGTGGATAGTCAGCCCCATTGATCCAAGCAAAAAAAAAGGTTAGAATTTAACATTTCCAAATCAAGGTTAAGATAAATGGTTGAACTTCAAAAAGACTCCATGTATTTCACTGATATATAAAAAAAGCAGCAAAGTATTTCAATATTTAGTTACCATGGTTACGTTTGATTATTGCATTGAATTCAATGTTAAAATACTTCTGAATTTAGAAAACAAGGACTATTAAAACATTTCTCCTCAATCTGCCTGCCTTGGGTGCTTAGTTGGAAATGCAAGATATATCCCTGTTGTTTTATGTTCATTGTGAAAAATATGTACATGTGCTTTATAATCATAATAATTATAATAATAATAGTGGTTGAGAAGCAAATGTCATATTCGCCTCTCCAGAAGGAATGAAGCATATTTATAGCAACTGTAATCACTTACATACAGTGCCACATACAGACATATATAATCATGTAAACAATGACATACAAAATAAATTTGCCAGCAAATTACATGAATATTTGTTCACAATATGTTCACAAATCACTGATTATAACCCTGGTTGAAATCTCAGATCATTTCTGAAAATGATAGTAAAAATATGTTTGTATTTATTCTTTCTGTGTCTGGTCTCCTGTGAGATTCTCATCATCTACAAATATGGGATTGGTGGCGCCCATGGCGGTATTTCGGTCCGTGTTTTTCAACAGGTTCTCTGTCGCTGGATCGCCTTGATGAGAGGCTTCATTGCACACAGAACTGTTCCGCTTGGCGGCTTTGTCCGACACGCCGTTTGTCTGTGCAGTGTAGCCTGTAACACCTACAACTAAACCATCCCTGTTCTGCTTCATCCTCACATGAATATCTTTCGAATGGACGCCATTGCCATTCGTAACTTGGTGTCCACAGTTTTTGACAATCCTCTGCGAGCTGTTATCAACATAGCCCTGCATTGTGACCGCCTCTTCGTTATATACAGCCTTTGGGCGTGGGATTCGTGTGAGGGTGAAGTCCTCGAGCTTTAGGTTCACATGGGGCACCTCAAGAAGGTCAAAGGATTGGGCGTACTTCCTTTTCCAGCACTCCTTGCCACACAGGATGACACCGATAGTGATGAGAATCCCACAGATACAACAAGCCACGATGATCACGATGAGGTCGACCTTGTCCAAACCAGTATCGGGCGGGTCAATTGGGCTGAATGTGGAGGCAGGGGGGTCAATTTCAGTGACCTTCAACCCTGGTAATTTCAGCCATTGGTTGTTGATCATGATCGGAACTTCAAACTGGCGTTGTCGGAACTGAGCGAAAAGCTTGTTGCGGAGAGCCAGGTGGGGCACCTGCATGAGACCCACATGAATTATCACTGAGCCACACTGTGGATCATACAGTTTAATCTGTTTCTTTGTCACATTGAGGTTAATCACAAGCACGTTCTCCAGGGAGCCCACGAACTCGGCCATCACTAAGGAATTGTTGAGGATTAAGAAGCAGTCAACATCAAATGTCAGTTCAAAGTAGCAGTCCTTGAGATTAGAAGTTGGGGTTGTTGATTTTATGGTGGTAGTGGCCGGCATCGCAGAGGGAATGATGGAACTGGAGTACATCGGTGCGCTAGACGTCGAGGAAACAGTTTGGGAAGGCATGACAAATGTTGATGTTGTTTGCTGAGACCAGGGTACAGTTGTTGAAGACGGAGCAACAGATTCAGGACTTATCTCCCCTGATGTGCTGACAGTTGGTCTCTCAGTTGTCTCCCCTACTGTGCTTGAACTACTAGAGACTTGAAGGTCACTCGTGTATTCTTGTGACTGTGAAGTGACTGAAGTGAACAGGCCTGGTTGACTTGTAGCAGATGGTTCAACAGACAAAACTCCAGACACAGCCACTGATGTTGACACAGACTCTGACACTGACACAGACTCTGTGGTTGGATCAGTAAAGACAGACGCCGATTCCTGTACAATCTGGGACGTCTGTGTTCTGGATGAAGCACCAGTAACAGCAGACGACTCGGTTGTCATCACCGGCATCTGACTTCCTGCTTCTGTCTCTGAAGCCCGCACAATGTTTGAAGAAGCATCCGGACCCTGAACCTCTGTTTGGGTGGATAGGTACACAGGTGGTGTCACAACCTCGGAACTAGATGCTGGTATCACAGAACTGGTTGGAGAGAGCAAGGGGATGGGCTGACTGGAGACAGTGTCTGTTTGACTGGAAGCCTGTATCTGGGTGACTGATTCACGATCCAGAAACCTACCCCAGCCTGACGACATGTCCCCAGTCACTGTGGACAGTTCTTGTGTACTGAGTACGGCTTGCTGTATTTGAGACAAAACTGTCGTCTGCTCAGGTGTAGCAGACGGTATCACTGCAACCATACTCGGTTGGAAGGAGGATTGTAAACTCTGGAACACAGATTCGGTCGACATTGGCGTTATTAACGGTGTCATGTTTGGTGTAACATTCAGAGGATTTGAAGAAGAGATTAACTGAGAGCTAGATACAACATGATTAAAACGTTCTGGCTGCACAGTGGTTACCATCTGTTCAGTGAAAGAACTTAGCACGAGATGTTCTTCTGTTGAGAAAGGTCTGGTCTGAGTGACCTTGTCACTGATATGATGGGAAGGAGAAGACTGTGACACAATTGTTGATGTATCCTGAAGCAGTGGCGTTGATGATGCAACACCATCAACGAATGATGTAACTGGAAAAACACTCACATGACTTGAATCCTGGATCATCTGTGACATTTCCGTCCTTTGCACGGATGATGAAAATATTGATAATGAGTCATGACTAGGAAGTATATTTTGTTGTGTATACGTGTAATCTGAGGTCACAGAGTCTGATACTGGTATCCCATAATCCCGTGGGGTCAGAGAAGAGGTGAGCGCGCTCCTCTCCGGAGGGCCGGATGTTTGAGACGCAGGCAGGGCTGATGTGCTGGCTACTAGTTGTGGATTAAAGGATCTGCTGGCTTGATTTGTTAGGCTGGTGTTCTCCAGAGTTGTCCGTGAGGTGTTAACGTTTACCGACGCTGACAGTATTTGCTCATTGGCTCCGCAAACTGCGCACAGAAAGCAAACAACATAATCAGTTAACAGTATTTGCAAGATCTTTACTGTTTTCTTTACCAAGCTTTTTCAAAAGGGAAACATGCTGACACAAATGTGACTTTTGGAGACGTTTGTATTTGTCTCTCGGAAAAGCTGTTACAAACTCATTGAAAAGAAACATGGTGATGAAAGTGACAATTTGATTCCCATAACACCCAATGTATATCACATGGGAACAATATATACTACACATCTGCTAAGAAGCAAAATAGTTCTTTAAGCCAAATGTGTGGTCCTTAGCAAATGTTGAGTAGTATCGGCCCGAGTTGATTTTTAATTCATTTTCCTTCTTGAAACACGAAAGAGTGTAGCAAATAATACGAATTTTTTTTTAAAAAATTATGTATCTTACGTACAATGAATCTCAATGTTTAAGATTATATTTATAGTCTAATCCCCTGACTAAAGTGTGGGGATGACAAAAGGCCTGTCGGCTGCTGATGAGTCAAACAAAACACTAAACAGACAAATGAACAAATCACTCCAACACACTCTCAAACAGAGGATAAATGGATAGCTGCACCTTGTGTGTGTTAGAGTCACCAGCGGGCTGTAGGTATTGACAGAGTTACAGAAATCATGTCCCAGTAGACACTTAACAATTGTGAAAAAGGGTTAGGATGATCAGTTTTTAACCTCTGCTCACATTACTCTGCACAGCAAGACGTTATCACCAGCCCGGGTTAGCTCTACACTTCCACAGGAGTTTTTACACCATAGGATTGATTTGTACTTCAAAGCGTTTCAGCTAGAGCTTGCAGAAAATAAATAAAGAAATAACTTTGCTGTTTAACGGTGCACTCAGCTATAGACAGTAGCCTGTTAATAATTGAGTCTGGCCCAGACAATCAAGTGATTGATATTCTTATCAACGGTCCATGCCATTGGGGTAATATGACATCAACCAAGTCACTGAGTCTGTCCCCCGATCCATTTTGTCACCTGCTCTTGACCGCCTCCGTGGTCTAGTGGTAGAGCGTCTGCCCGGAGAGTGGAAGGTCCGGGGTTCGATCCCTGACCGCATCATACCAAAAGATGTTAAAAGATGGTACTTGTTGTCACCCTGTCTGGCGCTCGGCATTAAGGGGCTAAAACAAGGACTGGTCGGCTTGGAGTCAGTATACTGTGTCTGAGTGGGGTATTTATGTTAAACTGCGGCATGGTATCTCAGTGAGCTAGCACTATAAATTGGCATCAGTCCGGACTAGTACAAACAGCCACACAAACACACACACGTACATGCACGCCACTATATAAGTGCAATAATCTTGGACGCGACGTTAAACTCCATTTCACCTCACCTCACCTCACCTCACCTGCTATGACCAGCATAGGTTACTGGGGAAATGATCTGACCCGGAATCCCAACAGGAGTAACTAATATGAACTGGCCCTTCGGAGTGAGAATCTCTGTAACCTAAATATGAAGTGTGGGTTTCGATGGGGTGAGTGAGTGAGTATGATTTTACACCACTTTTAGCAATATTCCAGCAATTTCACAACACCAGGAATGGGCAGATTCGATGGAAACAATGTATGCCCAGCATGGACTATTGTTGAAAGACTCCTCATTTGGAAGAGCAACATTTTGCTGTGACCAACATATTTTGCTGTGATTGACACATTTTGCTGTGATTGACACATTTTGCTGTATCCAACATTTTGCTGTGATTGACACATTTCGTTGCATCCAACATTTTGTTGTGACCAACACATTTTGCTGTGATTGACACATTTTCCTGTGATTGACTCATTTTGCTGTGATTGACACATTTTGCTGTATCCAACATTTTGCTGTGATTGACACATTTTGCTGTGATCGACACAACTTGCTGTGACTGACATGTTTTACTGTGATTGACACATTTTGCTGTGATTGACACATTTTGCTGTGATTGACTCATTTTGTTGTGACCAACACATTTTGCTGTGTCCAACATTTTACTGTGATTGACACATTTTGCTGTGATCGACACAATTTGCTGTGACTGACACATTTTGCTGTGATTGTCACATTTTGCTGTGTCCAACAATTTGCTGTGACTGACATGTTTTGCTGTGATTGACACATTTTGCTGTGATTGACACATTTTGCTGTGATTGACACATTTTGCTGTGTCCAACAATTTGCTGTGACTGACTTGTTTTGCTGTGATTGACACATTTTGCTGTGATTGACACATTTTGCTGTGATTGACACAGCTTGTTGTGACCAACACAGTTTGCTGTTATTGACACATTTTGCTGTGACCAGCTCTCCCATCCTCTATAAATCTCACCCCACCTCCCCGCCCCTATAATAAATGACCAGGGTGCTGTTGTACAAACAAAACCTTAGCGCTACGACGGTTGTAAGTCTAGGTTTGGGAGTTACGCTCACCTCAGTGCTAAGATCACTTTGTACAGCGCCACACAATGAGGATACACACAGCTTCAGGGAAGGTGATTCAATTGATCCTTAATATTCAAACCCCACAGCAGCATCCATTGTGTTTGCTTCCCCCTTGACTCTCGTCACCCACGAGAGAAGCAAGTACCATCGCTCGTGTGTTTGGAGGCGATGTGGAGACATAGAATCGCTGAAATCGCTCATTATATAGAAATTGAGAAGAATCCAATGACAGCTCGGTAAAAGCAGTTGTAATCAATTTTAAATCTATGACTTTTTACCAGGTGACAGATGAGATGTTTATTCCTTCAAATTTGGCACAAATTGCAATATAAATCCTGCTACAATCAAATCAACTGGTGTACGAGGAAAAGATTAAATATTGAAATCTTGAAGGTTCAGTAATGGCTGTTACGCCAACATATTGGTCCAGCAACCCATACATTGCACCTTATTCAAACCGCTTTCCTGGATGTTGCCTCATGCAAAATAAATGTTCTTTTTCCAGCTGTCAAATATCAGTAATATTGATTTCATTTGTCAACATTTATCAATCGATGCAGACATCAAACCAGAACAGGCTCATTAATTGCTTCCTAAAACGGCCATCTTAATATAGTGTCTCCCCTCACGTATTGATTGGACGCATGCAAGCTGCACAATAAACTACCTTCCTCACAACTTTATAAAAACAAACATCACATCACAGCTCACTACAATCTCTAACAAAACAGGATAATAACACACTCACTCCGCATTTTCCCTACTAACATCTGATGACAAACTTTCTGGGATCCAAAGTCTCTAATAAAACATTTTAATTAGAATATCAGCTCCCAGCATGAAAGTCTTTTTTATGAAAGCTAAAAGCACTGGAATAATTACACCCAATTCCGGGCATCATCTAAAGTCTTGTATTCATTTGCATGTAATAAAAGTTTTGTTCAAGTAGCACCCTGCACGAAGTATATGAAATGGGAGATATCCATTATCTTCTTAAAAATGCTATTGATGTCACAAGTAGTATTGATAAATGTTTAAAACTGTTTGAAGACACAATTCTGAAAGTGTGTTTTCAAATTCACAATCAAAGAGAGATCTCCTAAGGGCATTAACATATTCCACGAGGCATCACAGTCTTGGAGAAGTTCTGCCTTCCTAAATGTCATGGCACCGTGAACACGTACTGTCCACACTAGCAAATCAATACGGCAAAGAAATCCTTAACGTTATTTATTACTTTTAAGATCTTTACAGCCTCATTTACTTAGACTCAATTATTCTTTCTGCATGTCATCAGTGTTTTCAATTATCAATATTGTTGCTGATCTAATGTGCTACTTTCTTTAAGAACGTTTTTGGTGTTGTTTCTATCTAAAATTAAAATAAACAACCTAAAGAGGTTACATTTTCTGTGCAATTTTTTTGTGGCAATTTTAGTCTTTGGCAAGGTTTGTTTGTTGTTTAATGCCGCACTCAGCAATATTCCAGCTGTGCCCAGCATGGACTATTGTTGAAAGACTCCTCATTTGGAAGAGCAACATTTTGCTGTGATTGACACATTCTGTTGTGACCAACACATTTTTCTGTGATTGACACATTTTGCTGTGACCAGCTCTCCCATCCTCTATAAATCCCACCCCACCTCCCCACCCCTATATTAAATGACCAGGGTGCTTTTGTACAAACGAAACCTTAGTGCTACGACTGTCGTAAGTCTATGTTAAGGTTTGGGAGTTACGATCACCTCAGTGCTAAGATCACTTTGTAAAGCGCCACCCAGTC